AAAAATCAACCTGGCAGAAGAACATGGTACATGTACATCTGAATTGTGCTGAATTGTTACAGACTTATGATTCTACAACATATCTTATACATACATGTCAAAATTCTTGTCAAGCGAGAAAAAGAAAGAACCTAACAGTGATTCTGTTTGTTACAAAACCTGCTTTGTCGTGTTTTTTCTGCTATTTTTCTATGGAACTGTAAAGGGTATACTAAAAGGTAAAGCTTGTAACTCTCTGAGTTTAAGCATAATGCTTGACTATGATATTCCATTCCAACTGTTTGTTGTTCGTGTTTGGAAGTACTTTGCCTTTCAACTTCTTTCCTTAATGGTGTTACACACACCTGACACCCGGCATCTCACAATCTCACACCTGCGTCTTCGCGGAAGCTGCTTTTTAATGCCCTGCCGTTACTGTAGTTGAGCACTTCAAGAAAATACCACGCAACTTGGAACCTTCTCTTGATCTTTTTCCTAGTAGCCAGGGTAGTAGCTTTTTCAAATTTCTACAGTGTCAAGGTCTAGTTACAAGGTACAGTTAGCAAAATGCAAATACAAACACATCTGCTCTGAATCATCAAGGTAATCTTCTTCTACAAAATCATCAAAACAATTTACGTTGACAAATACAACTCGCATTAGACATTCAGATAAGATTGCATTTTGTCCACTCTTACCTGACTGTACTGTACTTTCCAACTTCATGCTAGCTGCAAAATCCTTGCACACAATCTGTCACCAGTCAACATTTACATCTAAGAAAATCCAAATACAAACATGTCTGCTCTAAACCATCATTCAAGGCACCTTCCTCTAAATCATCAAGGAATATAGATCATATTTTGTCCACGCTTACCTGACTGCACTGTACTTTCCAAATGCAACTTCGTGCTGCAAAATCCCTGCACAATCTGTCGCCAGTCTCCTTTACTGTACACAGATTTTCCTTATTGGAACAAGTTCAACATCCAGGAGGTCTGTATGTACACCTCCTGTGGCTATTCCCTAAAGATAAACAGTTATAACCTTCCATCTGAAGCCCAAGCACTCGTCTTATCAGAACTCTGCCGCAAAATCTCGCCGTTCTTTTAACCCCCGACCTCGCTCCCACTGGAGGCAATTTGGCGAGCTTACCACACCACAAGCCCGGTCCCTCGGAAAGGCCTGACCATGAACCCTGCTAAACAACTCGCGTGCCTGGGCCCTAAGACAGGGGCTTAAAACAGGCTTCTGAAGCCGACTGTTTTGGCTTCCACTGCATATACTGAAATAAGTGGTTAAAAGGCACGCCCATCGCAGAGGATTTCTTGTAAATATCTGATGAGACGCTTAGATAAGGAAAATCGGTGGGGAACCTCCTTGTGCCAAAAAAGACAGCATTTCACTTACTCCTAAAACGTGGACCTTTATACAGGTACTGAATTTCAACTATCATTTCACTTACTCCTAAAACGTGGACCTTTATACAGGTACTGAATTTCAACTATCATTAAAATAAGGTCTAATGTTCACCAAGCTATTCACCAAATGGGAGCAATATCAAACATTCATTTAGGTATTGTCCTCTTTTCTGCACTCCTGTCTTACCATCTGAATCTTACAACCTTGTCTATTGTACAACTGTCCATTCTGATTACATGCTCCACTGTTTTACTACCCAAGTAATTACTTGAAATGTAGCTGGCATCAGCAGCTCTCTCCATATTGCATTGACTTGGAGTTGACAGGATGATCTAGAAAGATAACCTTGATGTATTTACAGTGCTTTGATTTGTTACCTTTTCAAATCATAGGCAAGATGTCCATGAAAAGTGACTGCAATTACTATCATCTTATATAGAACTGATCTTTTTATCACCACCTCCTTTCCAAGAAGATGGCAACCATGCAGCCATTTAGCAGGGAATCAAGGAACCCAACAGCTTCTTTAAGTACCAATTCATCAGGATTTCTTCTACATTGAAGCAGGGCTCTAACCAGTGCCCGTTTTGCCATTAATTACCGGAACTTTGCGGCGTGTGATAGAAAAATTGTTAAACCAATCCGTCAACCTCAACAAACAAAACTGACAAAAATCTTTAAAATTGGAAATTGTGTTTTTGAAGGCATGTTAAATCCAAAATTTTTCCCCTGGGGGACGGAGGCCCCTAGCCTGGACCCCCCTAGATGGCACTCACGTTGTCCCAGCAATGCCCCCCCCCCTGAACCTGGGCTGACGGAAACAAATTTTAAGCTGGCTACAGGTGAGCTAAGACGATTTTCCGGTCATGTTTAGTTACATGCATGGTAACTGACATTTTCAGATTGCATGACAACTCTGTAGCTGGATTTTTGACCCTCCTGGAAGACTTAGTAGTCTACAACCGATAAACCAAATGGATTCGAGGAATATATATATATAGCAGCTCAATATACATCAGGATTTCTTCGAATTCTGAGCTGAAGGCAGCTGGGCCAATGTGATTTTAATGACATGTGCGTTTATTTACACGTGCTGCTATGCAGTAATTGACAACTGCCATTTTCAACTTGACAAGCAGAGTTGTATGTACATGTAGAGAGTTTAACTTTTAACTTGTGTTTAAACTTTTGACTTTTGTTGATATTTTGCTTAAACTTTTAGCTTTTGTTGGCATTTTCCTGGCATATAGACAGCCCACTAATATGTCAATTCCAGTTAGGGTCCATAGTTAATCGTACGGTAGGACAAATACTTTTTTTTTTGCAAAATAAATCATGATTGACATTTTCTTCAGGTCTGCAACAGTGCCTCAAAATTTGTACAAAAACAAAATCAAGATATCCAACATTTATCCCTTAAAAATGTAGTAAAACAGCATTGCAAAGGGTTTAAAACAAAAACTAGATATCTCTAACCATTGTTGCTTGGCACAGCTTTAGTGTGTCAAACTAAAACCGTAAAACTAAATACTAAAAGGACGGAGAAAAGTCTAGAGCTGGACTAGAAGGAGCCCTGTTCTAGACCCCAGGATATAACAGCTTTAAAGCCTGAAACTTACCACACTTTGTCACAGCCATTCCTCACCCAGTGCTGTGTACATAAACAGCCTGCTGCGGCACAAATGGACCATAGATGAGAAAAGTAAACTCGCTGTCCCTACCTCGCCATTAGAAATGATACATGGGCCTCTACATCTCCAGAGTGTCTCTCGCTTAATGGAAATGGTCTGGTTGGCTTCTTGAAAACAAGCATGATGACATATATAAGAGTTTTTGCCACTTTCTACTGAGATTTTAAAAGAGGCGGAAATTTTCCCACATGGGATTGGTGGGTTTGCTTTGGCAGATGTTGTGCTTTAGGCGAACTAGGAAACAATTTGTCAGTTCACGGGTCTGATTCGAATCTGAGCATCAAAGAGGTTGGTTGGAAGGGTAAGACATGGCTAGCCCTGGCCAGTGGCTGAAAGCAAACTTGGGTCTCCAAAGCAAAATCTTTTTCTTTTTTTTCATTCCAGCACTGGGGAAACAGTGATGAACCATTTGAATTCTTTATTCAGCATTTCACAGGTGGTAACAACTCAGATCATGGGGACAGCAAACAAAAACCCACAAACACACACACATTCAAACAACATGCATCAGTGCAGGTTAGGTCTTGGTAGATATCTACAGAAGCTACAATTTCACCTGCACTAAGCTGTGTATGCAGGTGGTATTTCAGGCCCTGCAACTTGTTTACATGTAGTGAGTGTTGACTGGAGTTCTACCAGTTCATTCTAGACAACTGTAACAGTTGGCACTCAAAACGTCTGAAGTAATCTCCATTTCTTATCCAGTAGTAGAGTTTGACTTCTCTATGAATATTGTTCACCTTTAATATCACTTAAATGTGCTATTTTAGATTCAGCCAAATTTGGCCAGTGTTGCTAATATCTCAAAGTCGTGTGTCACGCTGCCAGAGCTTTTGAGCAAATATGGCTAGCGGATATGACGTCTTACGTAGGGCAGATCTGATCCTTTAATAAATGTCTATTACTTGTGTATAAGTGTATACATCCTTTTTATACCCCTGCATCATTACTAGATACTTTACGGATATGGCATGCGCGTATACTGGATGTATATTTAGTTAAAAATACACTTAAGTCATGACTGTTGGACAAGCCTGCTTACACCAACAAGCCTGGATTTCCATTTATGAATATGCCAACATTTTGAACATATTCTGTTGACATTTGATGTAAGAAAGACTTTGATGTAAGAAAGACTAGTGGATTCTAAAAACAGCACTTTTGTGTAAAATACAACTTAAATGTAATTCACTGTTCATCACTATGTATTAATACATGTATACCATGCTTCTCAAATATAACATACTAGAATTTAAGAAATATAGAAACAGATCTAGCCCCGATTTGGGATACTGCCAACTTTTCAAGAAAGCTAAATATCTAAGGTCGTGAAGGAACAATGACATAGATATCACAATGCAAATGAATGTTTACTTCTATCATCTTCATACTACAGCAAATGTGAAAAATAGACTTAAGCTAGTCTCCTACACCTAAATGATCATTCTTCATTGTAGTGTTTACATGTAGTGTCACTGTTGAAATCATATCATTTAGCATAGATAATTGCAAGATATTCCAACTATTCTTTGGACTCCAAAATTGCCTCGTAGATATAAAACCCATGGTTACAGGTCACTGATCTTTCCAAGATCTAAAAGTAAAACTTCCTACACATGATGACCACTTACATTTTGTAGGCATGAACCTATCATTAGCCAACTGTTGTGTAACCTTTTGTCTAATCTCTCTTTTAAAAAAAAGTTCCTGGTATCACAACTTAAATAGATGCAGGGAAAAAGTTAAAGGTATAGGGGCAGAATTGGCTGTCCATTAATATGGCAGGATCATGTTCCTAATCCTTCCTAAAATTGTGGCCACCAAACCAAACAGCAAAACATCGTCAGTAAAAACATAACACCCTGAAGAGACATAGCCAGCCAATCAAGTAAAGAAAGACGTAGTTACCTTTCTCGATGGAAGACAGGTTCTTCTTTACACAGGTGTCTTCTCCCCTGCTGCTTTTCAAACTGTACCTCTTTCCAATCACACAGAGATCGGGACTCAGATAAAGCAGGCTAACCAACCAGATAATCCTTCCTTCTGCTACAGGGCAGTTATTTAGGCAACCTATACACCATAAAATTGGGCTAAGTGACTCACTCTGCAAAAGGTCAAACAAGAGGTCTCCCAATGATCACGCACACACAATTGATTCTAAGCTAAACAGCTTTGGAGAGGTTTTCTCTCTAACTTACCATGCACCAGAATGACAGACAGTGAGCTATATGTCCAATGTCAATGTCTTCTTTTTCGGAGGTGACAAAAAAAATCACTCCTTGCTTTTTTTTGGTGACAGAAAGATCAATCGTTGCTTTTAGACAACAGAATGTGTCCTGCGGGTTTGCATCCAATTAGGTCAAAATAATTATTACATAGCACATTTTTCTTTGGAGATGATTCCCAATAGCAACGAAACAACAAAACAGATCTGATGTTCAAATTTCTAACATCCACCAAGTATATGGTAAACTGCCAAAAATGTCATGTAATGTTAGGCTACACAGATGTGCCAAATGATGAAATATTAATGACATCTTTGCAGTATTTAGGTCAGGGCCATAAAAACACTTACTAAAGCTGAGGGTATCATTAAAGGCAATATGTAGACTGGCTGCATAGAAATGTAACATTTGCCAAAAGTTGCTGCACTGTTGGTGTTTTTCACAGTGATCTTTCTGCCACAAAATCATCACATCGCAAAAATATAGATATTTCTTTCAGTTTCACATGTTCAGTAACACATTCTGCGAGGCAGTAGTGCGAAAACTTTTAACACAGGAAAAGCCTCATTTTCCCCCCTACCGCGCAGTTAAATCCCCTCAAGATGAATTTACAATAGGCTGCACAGGGCTTTCACACAGGCTAGAAGAAGAGTGATGTCTGCATGTTTACATAAATAAGATGATCAGACAGACCTGAGTACTCTTGACAAGTGTTTTACGCCGTACACAGAGATGGGAGACCTTCGCCCATTAATCTGGTAATTACCCTGGGTTACTGCCAGGTCCATTTACTTGGTACTTGGATCTGTATCTGAGCAAGAGCGAGATCAGCCAATTATGCAAAGTGAAAGAGCAAGAAAACCACAACAAACAGGAGTATTTATCCTAGTGGGAAATACATTAATTTTCAGACTTGGCATCTTTAGATCCTCTGGAACGCCTGAGAATCAACTCAATTCCTCCTGATTTGAATTTACAAATTCAATAAAAGGAATCAAAATTTCAGTAGTTTAGTCCTGATTTTAATGATATACAGTAAAACCTACACAATTGGTCATTCAAGAAGGGATGACCTGGTCGATTTGACCACTTTTTGGTTGTCACAAGAATACTCAGTCTACACTGTACAATGTATAGTGACCAGACTTTATCTTCTTAGGCAGTTCTTATTTACAGTGAATTTGAAGTGAATTTCATTGTCTGTAAGACTGAGAGGTCAACACCATACATGTAGTTCATGTTCATGTACCTTGTGTAAGTGCAATGTATGGGATTACTGCTGCACAGTTTACTCAACTCAAAAGCCCTCTCTTAAACAAACACTTGGAACAGACAAGTCCTTCATAGTCAGCAGTTTACAGTACTTTGCTGAAAATAGCTAGAGACAGTTGTTAGACATTTAAACACAGACCAACCAAGCTTATAAGAAACCCGTCCAACTGTCTTTTGGATAAACATTTGTGTCTTTCATGGCTACTGACCTGCAACAAGTACCAATCCTCTTATCTCCAAGCAGATGTTGGGAGGTAAAACTGCTGTTTCCTTTCTGTTGCCCTTCCCAAATTAAACTGGTTTCCCTTTGGTTGAAGTCACGAAACTTCGAAAGACCAAATACGTTTATTTAAAAGGCAGGTTGTAACAGAGCAGGGTACTAGAAAAATGTTGCAATTTTGCCTCCCAATGTCTGCTTGAGATTAATATTTTCATGGCAAAAACCTTGACTTTTGTAACACAGCATTTTCGATCAGTGGTAACACCCAAAACAATAAACAATGGTAACATTTTCTTTACTCATTGAAGTAGAGACAATGAGTTTTGTCATAACAAGAACACATACAATACCTAACATTAGCCTCTGAACTCTGAGGTAAGAAAAAACCATGTAAAAACCAACAGCCATCAAATTATACGACCTAATGAAACCAGAAAGATTTATGATTTATTTATTTACAACATCACACTGGTTTAAGTTACATGATTACAATACCAAGCTCATAGAGTATAAACACCATCAAACAAGTGTGTGGTTAAAAGCTTTTACAGATTGTCTTGCAATAAAAAAGACTAATAGAAATTCTTCTACCTTTATTTCTACAACACTACAATATTTCACATCCGTATTTGTATGTTTCAGGAAATTTTTGTACTTTTCTAATAACGCTACAATGTTTTACATCTATATTTGTATGTTTTGGGACATTTTTGTAAGTTTCTATAGCACTACAATATTTACATCCGCATTTGTATGTTTTGGAACATTTTTGAGCTTCTCTAATAATAGAGGACTACAAAAATGTCCCAAACATACAAACACGGATGTAGTACATTGTAGTGTTGTAGAAATAATGGCAGAAATATTCTCCTGCCTCTAGGCCTTCTGTACCCACCCAGGTGTTGTTGACAGGATAAACTTTTGACTCACCTTTCTTTAAAGTGTAACCATAGAATGTGACCTCTTTGACCTCTAGCCTTCCAGACAACACAGGTGACTCATGATCTCACCTTTCTCCATTCTAATTATGTCTGACACTCTTTATGATAAATCCATGTATTGTTCCTACATACAGTACGTGTAATTAAGCACCAACGCGCAAAGACCTACTGTGATAAATAATTGGGGGAAAGAAACAAGATTCTGATTGCATTAATTTAGGGGAACAACTACGGAATACATCCAGCATTCTCACTAATCCATGTATTGTTCCTACATACAGTACGTCTAATTAAGCACTAACACTCAACGACCTACTTGTAGTGATAAATCATTAGGAGAAAGAAGCTTGTGATTCCAGGTGGAACAAGACTTTTTAGTACTACAATATATAGCTAGGATTCTCACTAAGCTGCTTACGCTGTTGTATTGATTTAGCCCCCTATACTGTCTTTCAACTAGCGCTGGGGTATTTTTTTTGGGAGAACCTTGATACTCTCCTCAGGGTCAAAGGTAAATTTTTTGGGGGAGGGGGGCCCAGTGGGATACCAGACCCCCTACTGTGGTCATATCTTTGGGGCTGGATGCTTGCTTTATCAGTGTTGAATTCCTGCGATGCAACTATTGGAAGTGTAGCTGTCATCCCTTGCAGGAGTCCACTGCTTGCTGTGAAACTGGAGAAGGATTACGAGCCCAATCACCCGCTATAATGTGTGTCATCACCCGGGATAAGCCAAGAATCTTAATGACATGCCGCAGCCTCCGAAAACACCCCTAGCAAGGTGCACAGGGCACTCGTAACGCCCCACATGTATGCACAACAAGATCGCCAATTACATGTCTGCGGCGTCGCACTTTCATTTCCTGTGCACGTTCCTTCTCCACGCTTGTTTTACTGGGGGAAATGACATTTTAACAAAAGTGTTTTCCTGGCCGGGTTCTGGCAGGTCCTTCCTTCCAGCCCAATAAGCTCCTGAGGCCGCAAAAGGAGCCGCTACACGTGTGTACACTCGGGGTAGAGTCTTACGAAAACAGGCTACTTTTCTTACCAAATCTTTCTGTGCCTTGTCAACATGGCCAGGGCTAATTCCAAAGCTGGCCTGAAAAACACGAATAACAGCTCGCTGGCAGTTTTAAGTTAAGGTTAATGGCTGTTTACGAGGTTTGGAAAAGAATATAGGCCTTGCTTGTTGTACTTGTGCTTGTATAAGTTGTATTTCTTGCCATACTCAAGAGTAAAAACTTAGAAGTCTTTGAATTCTACATTCTCGGCAAGCAAGATTTTCAAAGCCGTTTCTCACAAGAATGAAGAAAATGTATCCATTCCAACGTTAAACAACACGGCAATGTTTAAACCAAAACATTTCTTCCTTCCGCACAGATCTGAACAATAGAAAAATTGGACTTTCCCATCTCCACCCAAAACATCACATCCTGGGTGGCAAAAATGCACAATCACTCAACACCACTGTCAGGGTCAATGCCCCAAGTGTTAGTCATTCCTAGATGCCATATTTGGATGAAGGCGTATACACGGTGCCATTGAGACTGGCAGAGATTGCACATTCCTGAATTGTTGTCCAAATAAGATGCTATCTTCACCCTGTACAAGTTGGTCTGTCGTCAGGTGATATACTGGATAATTTTTAACAACTCTCAGGGCAAACTTGTGATCATCTTATCAGCTGAAAGATGTGTTAATCATAATTGAGTCCAAGACCAAGTCCAAGACCCTATCATATACTGGTAATGCAAATCCAAGACAATGTCATAATGATATACAATGTCTCAAATTAATTTGCAAAGTATTTCACACAATTATGATTATCATTAATGATTTTAATTAGAGTCCTTCCCAGACCATTTGTGGTATGGGAGCGCACATATCTCTTATTCTTAGCCCTTGGGCCACACGGCTATCACAAATGAAATATGACCTAATCTTAAGGCATTCGAGGACTCTTGATATTGAACTCCAAGCATGCAGCATGTCTTAAAGTTAAAGAATAAGAGGCCTAAGTTCTAACTCAAGGAAATCCGCGAAATGCTCTGGCATGACACTTCTTCCGGGCCTTTCAAAATGGTGGACAAAAATAGACACCTTGTATAAAGGCAGTAGCTAATAGAAACCAAGGCAAGGATTTACCGACAAAGCAAATGTTACAAGTTTGTCACGTGTGTCACGAACAGTTGCGGTAAAGTTCATCCGGCGTGCTCGAACAATAACACTTCCTCTGGACCTTTGAAAACAGGGGACAAAAATAAATCTA